ACACACTGGGGTAGGCAGCACACACCATGAGGTAAAAACAGACAAATAACAGGCAAGGGGTGGAGAGCGCAACAAGGCATGCAAGATGTGTACGTCCTGGCCTTGGCTTAACCAGGTCCATGCAGGGCCAGAGCAGGGTGTGGATGGTGTAGCCAGCAGGCTCAGGCAATCCAGGTATTGCCACATCTTTAGCTCATGTCCCACCACCAGCCAATGGAAAAATAGACACAAAGGCCACACCAGTCCATCAGCCTGGGAGCCAAAAGCCAACGAGCTAGGGTACTGCAGCTAGCCCATTCTTTGACTGTCTATCCCAAGATCTTTGAGGAAGAAAAACAGGGCCTAAAAAAAACAAACCAGAGGAGCCTAACCTCATTAGAGCTGCTCACTCAGGAAAGAACAGTAGCATGCAGGATGGGGCAGAATGAGAAGCAAGGCCGTGCCCACTTGTTAAGGTCTGCGGGACCCAGAACAAGAAGCCATTCTGGGTCTACTCTGAGAGGCCAGAAAGGGCATGGCCTCCCTGACCCAGGGAGGGCCTCAGTGCTCACACTCTCTCCTCCAAGAATGGCCAAGAGGAACTGAAAACAGCTAAGTCAGCAGCCTGCCTCTTTCTGAGAAAGGGAGTGGAAGAGGATTTGGCAGCTGGAGAGGCTTTCAAAAGAATCCAGTGAAGACTCGCATCATGAGAAGGGCTTTTGAAGGCAGGACTTAGATGGATTAGTACCTCCAGCCTGGCCACTAACTCCACCCAGAAGACACGTCTCCCTCCTCCTCAAAGGAGGAATAAACCAGCCCAGGCAAAAGCACTCATCCCAGCAACCAGGTCTGTCACTAAGGGAAACAGGAGGCAGGAAAGGCAGAATTCCACCGGTCTCACCTGTGGGCCAGCAGCTGGGAGCCAGACCAATACTACCAGACCTCATGGGAGCCAGGCTGTACATGCTTAGCTTCCATGATGCAGCAGGGGGTGGTGGTGGGGTGGGAGTGGTCCAAGTCAAGTGACTGATAGGAACAGACCTGATCTTGCATGCTGGGGAGGAGGGATGGAAGGTGGGGCGCAGCTGGTTCAGCCAGGGGACTCACCCGATGTCATCTCGGTAGACCCGGGAGATGAGCACCTCCCCCTTGTGATTATAGATGAATAAGCCTCCAATCATGGCGGCAGCTCAGTCTCCACAGCCCATTGCTCTGAGAACAGACCTAGGAAAGGCAGAGGCAGGGTAAGGGAAGGCCTCAGAACCCTTGCCCACATCCACTGTGGGGCTGTGCAGGTCACAATGTGCTTTTTTTCCCTGACTCAACCCAGCAAGTGACCCTGCAGCCCTTGGCAGGCATGCTCCTCCCCTTAGCCAGGCTCCAGTTCCTGTTTATCCCACATTGGTCGGGAGAAAGAAATGGTGAGGGACTTGGGCCCAGGATACTAAGGCCATTTTGATCCTCCCTTTTCTGGGGCTGAGCCCAGAGAGTAGCCCCTCCCCCTCTTCACAGAACTGAGCTCAGCGAGAATCCTTTTCCGCCCCTTCCTGTGCAGACTCTCGCCAGGGAGTCCACGGGAAGGCCTGCCTGTGGCTGCACGAATGGTGGCAGGAATTACTGCCCTGGGTTCAGGCCTGGGGCTCAGAGAGCACCAAGTCTCAGTCTCCACTACCCTTCTGAGAAGGGGCAGGGCCTGAATCTCAGGCTAATTCACTGAAAGCTAAACATTCCAGGAAAGGGTGTGCAAGGGGTGTGGGGGTGGGGAGGAAAGGAAGCCTTAGGCCCTGACTTAGATCCCCAAGTGTGGCTCCAACCTCCTCCAGGCAGTCAGATAAGCAGGCAAAAGAGCAGAGTAGAAAGGTCCCAGCCCTGACAGACTACACTTCTACGACCCAAGCTGCTTAGTAGTAGTTATTTTTGGCAAGCACCCCTCCTTTCAAAAAGGGAGGCTCCCTCTCAGCTCCCCAGTACAATAAAAAATAGGGTGGGAGGGGGAGGGGGAGGAGGAGGCGGGATGCAGGTACATAAGTGGAAATTCTGTTATTCCAGGCCCATGTCTGACCTGGGTGCCGCCTACCTGTGAGGGGCAGGATGCCCCAACTATCCAAATTATCTGGGTCAAACTAACGTAGGCTGTTTGCAAGGGCAAAAAGGGTTTGTTTAGTTCTAGATTTCCTGGATTAGCCCTGGTATTAATTTCACAGGGGGGTCATTTAGCAAGACTTTTTTTTTAAACTGTAAAGTAAAGCCTATTCCTACGGCCACCAGGGTCTCCCAGACTCAGCGAGAGGTCAGTCTCCGAAGGTGCTGGGCACAACCCATGCCTCAGTCCCTAAGGGTCCAGGGGAGAGAGAGAGGAAAGGCAAGATGGAGGTAGAGCCTGGGCCAGGAACCGAGTCCACAGGTATCCAGGCTTCGGGAGGGAGCTCGGGCCGCAGACAGGTATTGACTTCAGCGGGAGACCTGGCGGCGGCGGCGGCGGGCAGAATCCTCAGCCCTCTCGCCAGGTGAGCCCACAGCAGCGGCGGGGCTGGTGGGGCGCCCAGGGCAAGAGTTCGAGGATGGCAAAGGTCAGGGCTTTGGAGAGGAAAAACACGGCAGGGGGAGCCTGGCCGCGGTGTGTAGAGGACGCCGGGGAGACGGAGCCTGCTTTGGGGTTCAGGTGCGGAGGCAATGAGGGGGTGGATGGTGGGCTTCTGCCCCGGGAAGGAAGACATCGCGGGGAAAGATGGATCCGCGGGGTGCGGCGCTGTCACGGGCCTGAGGAATGAGAGCCCCAGGCTGTCACTCAGCGGGGAGGAGGGGGTGGGAGGCCTGTCACGGTCCCAGGAGGCGGCCCGGGGGGTGTCACTGTCGGAGGAGATAGTGAAGCAGCCCTGGCCCCGGGGGTGTGGGGGTGGGGGAGGCGCCGCGGGGTAGGGGTGCTGTCACCGCCCCAGGGAGGGGGCGCCGCGCGGGGTGCCTGCCCTGGGAGGGTTCCAGGAGATCTCCCTCTCCAGGAAGGCGCCGGGCGGGTGAGGTGGAGGGCGCGCTCCCCGAGCCCGTCCTGCAGCCGCGCCCCGGGCGACTCCACCCGCCGCCGTCAGCTCCTCTGGGACCTAAAAGGCTGAGGCCACTCCCGGGTGTGGGCAGCTTCCCGCCTACCCTGTGCGCGGGGAAGGGCAACGCTGCAGTTTGGGCAAGGCGTCCTCCTTCCTCCCGTGAGGCCTGATCCCGAGCTCACCTGGTGTCCGCGGCCCGCTCTGCTCCGCCCGCCCGGCCACTCTCCGGATCCCAAGATGTCCGCCCGCCCCCTGCTCGCCTGCCCGCTGCCTCGGCTTTCACCGCAGTGCCGCGGCCCCGCCCCGGCCCCGGCCGCGCCTGCGCGTGCGCCTCGGGCTCCCGCACGGACTACAAGTCCCGTCAGGCCCTCCGGCTTTCTCGCTTACAATGTTAAGCTCTCTAGATGTAGCAAAACTACAACTGCCGACTGCCTTCGAGAACCTTCGAACGGGAGTGTAGGGGTTCCTTGGGGAGAGGGCTAGGAGTGGCCTTACCCAGCCTTAGCCGAAAGGCACAACCCAGCCTATCCGATTCCGCTCACGACCTTTCCCCCTTCCCTCCCACTGAGCATTCTGGGAATTGTAGTCTCTGGAGTCCCTCCAGTTCCTATTTCAATGTTTCTGAGAGCCTCAGAGGATTGCTACCATTAGAAGTCCGTCTGTTAAGTCTTGCATCGTTGTAGGCCTTTCGTGACTCCAGAGTCCGAGGACTGGCTGTCCTCACTTTCCATACAACACACCACTTGGCAGTAGAAGTGTTTGTGCTGAATTTACTGCTTTCTAACACCACCTCTGACTCTCCGAAATTTTAATTTTTCATTGTATATATTTGCCAGACATAAGCCTTTCTCCAGGGATCAAGACCCAAGGAAAGGAACAGGAAGTGAAGAGGCAAATACTCGGCAGAACCTAGATAAAGCTTTTCAAGACTATGTCCATGTTCCTACTTCATCTATACCTATGTTACTGTCAGTTCCTCAAGGCCAGAACATGTGTGTCTTCTAATGAGAGGCAGATATGTTGTTTAGAAAACCATTGGTGGCATGGGATTTGAAATTTCCTCTATGAACAGAGTTAATCTTCACACCCAAGCTGAGAAGACAGAGCCAACCCGCAAACATGAAAGGCCTGCCTGGCTCTTGCAGGACCTGAAGGAAATATGTTAGCTCTTCTCTTTGTATACAGAGAGATACCCTGATGCCTTCGCTAGTCAGGGTTGAGCCCATCATGGGAGAAAGGACAAAAAAGGGCGAACCTGGATGCAAGCCTTACTGTCCCTCGCATCCTCTTTTCAGAGGCCAACATTTGGCCTCCTTCATTAAAACTGTGGTCATTGCCTGAAGCCATTAAGTGGCCAAATATAGGCACTTCTGATCCTTGAAAAAGCACACAAGGCTTCACTCCTACCTTTCCCAAAGATTTATCTTCAATAAATACCCTAAATCCTTACCAATTTATAGCAAATAATCATAATAATATTAATAATAATAGCTACCATTTATTGAGCACCTATTCTACTGTGTGCCAGGCACTGTGCTAGGCACTTTTCGTACAATATCTAATTTAAATCCTCACAACAACCCTGTGAGGTAGGTATTATTATCGTCATTTTACGTATGAGGGAACTGAGGCTCAGAGAGATTAAATAATTCTCCTATCACACAACCAAAAAGTAGTAGAGCTGGGATTCAACCCAGAACAACTTGATTCCAGATCCCATGCTCCTGTGAACTAGAGCAGAGGCAGAGGGGAGAAGGGCTGAATTCAAGAAAAGATTGTTGGAGTAGAATGGATATGATCTGCTGAATAGTAAGATATGGGAAGGGATTTAAGTCCATAAATGTTTCTAGCTGGTGAGCCTATGTTGATTGTGAAAGTAACTAGGATTGGAATTCATGAAGTGGGGGAAATGCATTGAGTCCATACGGATATGTCCATGTAGATGTCCGGTGGATAATAAAAACACAGATCTAAAGATTGGGGGGAAATTGGGAATGGAGAGATATATTTGAAAATCCCCAGCATATCCAAGGCAGGTAAGGACCTCCTGATGGATGATACCAATGGGGAGTAAATAGGAAAGAGAAATGGATTGAAGACAGAAAACAAGGAGCACCAACAATGAAGGTATGAGCAACAGTGGAAGAAACCTCAAGAAAGTTGGACATGGCAGAGTCAGAAAAAAGTATAGGAGCCAGTCCTCCTCCCAGGTGGCTAAAGGAAACTATGGTCTGTGTTGGGAGCAAACCAGAACTGTTAAGAGTCAAATTTCTAACGTAGCCCTCACTCACAAAAAACAAACCAGGAAGTATTTAAATGAATGCCAAATGCCCCTTCCCTGGTTTGCCCCAAAGCCTGGTATTTAGTACTTCATCTCTTGACACCCCAGTTCTGAAAATATGGGAGCCCAGGTGAGCCAAAAGAATTTATAGAAGAGGCTTAAAGTCATAATTTGTTTAAAGTAAAAAATAGGTTAACAGTACAAACCTGGCACTCCCAGAAGCCTCCCTGCCCAGTCATGCTCTGGGGTATCATGGTGGTGTGAAAACAGGAAAAAGTGTGCAATGCAGGGGGCAAGGCGAAACAGCCTGTTTTTTTTTTTTTTTGTCTGGGGAGTCCTCTGATGAGCCCCACATATGGGCTTTATCCTGGTAGGATGATGATAGGGACATGTGGGGGAGGCTTGAGGGCTATGAGGAAGGGGAGGAAGGATAGAGGTAAGTCAGGGGACCAGCCCCACAACCTGGGAGAAAATTTGGAGAGAGGCCAGCCCTCTGGACAGGGACCAACCCTGAGGCTTAAGTGGCCTTGCATAGGCACCTGTGTGTGTGCATGTGTGTGAAAGGGAGAGAGCACGCACACTCTCTGGAAAGGTGAACAGTCTCATATTATATGGACCAAGGGCTGGAGCCCTCCCCAGAAGCCTCGTGCCGTGCTGAAGTGTGGGTGTGGGGGCTGGGTATCCTGGGGAAGCCCTGAGGGGCTGTTGAAGCAGGGTTCCTGGTTTCCTCGGAGGCTGGGCCTCCCCTTGCTGGGGGTTCACAGAAAGTCAAACAGCCCGAAATTCTTGGCTGCTCCAGGCCCAGGAAAAATTGGGGAGGAAAAAAGAAAGAGAAGAAATGTTTCAGGCCCAGAGGGGAGATGAGCCTGTTGGTTAGTAGGGTTAGGGGTCTGAAGGAACCAGCACACAATTGCAGGCAAAGGGTGGGGGTAGAGCAGAGATGTTCCTCAGAAGCCACTAGCAGTCAGGCAGCGAAGGCCCCCACGGCTCCTGGTGAGGGCCCAGTGCAGGAAGGGAGAGCATGGGTACTTACTGAAGGTGACCCACACTCTAGGGTGCAAGCAGCAGGCAAGCGACAGTGAGGCAGCAGGCAGGGACAATTAGGAGGGGCAGATGAAGCGAGTTTTTTTGGTGTCAGCATTGTGCATGCGCGCGTGCGTGCGTGCGTGCGTGCGTGCGTGCATGTGGGGGGAGTTCAGAGATTGGACACATGCTTGTGGGGACGAGGTTAATAGGGAGACTGTGTAGCTGAATGAATGGTGAAAGGGAACTGAGGTAGAAGGGGGGGGGGGGGAAATGGTGGGGAAAAGGGGCTGAGCAGGCCCTCCCAGGCACAGTTGCATTCCTGAAGGGAGTAAGGTGAAGGGAGTAAGGAGCAGCACCAGCGAGTCGGGTCCCCGGGACACGAAGGATCCTGAGTCGTCCTGTGCAGCAGTTAGTGGGCAGAGGGACAAGCCGGGGCTGGTGGCAGGTTAGGGGCTGCAATAGCTCTGTGTGGGTCACCCCACCCTCGCTGAGCTCAGCGAGCAGTTAGCGCGCCTGGATTTAGTTCCGTTTATTTCCCTTTCAGGTACCAGACAAAGTAAAAAAAAGACTGGACAGATGGAGAGAGGGACGCAGCCAGCAAGGTTAGGGTGGGATGGGAGTGGGAGAGGGGCCCTGCTCACATCACATCCACAAAGAACTCACTGGGGTTTCCCATGGCCATGCGGAAGGACTGTCTGCTGGCAGTCAGTTCGGGGGGCACCGAGGCCAGGTCGCGGCCTGGGGGGGCTCCTGGGGGTCCCATGGCCGCGGGCGGCGGGGGCATCATCAGCATGGGGGGGCCGTAGAGAGGGGGCACCCCGGGGGGGCCGTAGCTCGGGTGCGTGTGGTGGCTGCGCAGGCTGCTGGCTAGCGAGTGGTGGCTGCGGTGGCTGTGCTCGCTGGCGGCGGGCCCCGAGCGCTCGCTGGGCGCCCGCTCCCGGGGCCCCCGCAGGCTGCTGCTGCGGGTTGTGTGGTCCGACTCGCTGCCGCTGCCGCCCGACTTGGAGTCTCCCGCCTTCGGGTCTTTCTCCTTCCGCCGGTCGCTGCCGCTGCGGTTGGAGCCACTGCTCCGGCTGCCTGCAGGGGACAGGCAGGGACAGGGCGGTGGGTGCTCAGAGCCCGCGGAGGAAGCCTGGCTCTCACCCGGGTCTCCCCTCCACCTTACTTACCTTCACTGTGCTGGCTGCTGGCACTGCCCCCGCCGTAGCTGTACCCCAGCTCCGGGAAGCCTGGGTGCGGGTTGTAGGGGTGCGGGGGCGGCGGGTACTGGTAGGGGAACGCCATGGGCCAAGGGGCGGCCCCCGGGTGCGGCAAAGGGGCCAGTGTGTCCTGGTCGGAGGCACCGCTGGAGCCGTCGTGGTCGTGGAGGGTCAGGTTGGCCATGTCTGTGGAGGGCAGGAGAGGGCCGGATGCTGGGACTCTCCCACATCTTCTGTGTCAGGAGAGAGGTCCCAGCCCAGGCTGGACTGGATGCAAATGAAATGACAACAGCAGCGGTAGTTCCCCGCCATTATGGGGGGAGGCACAGGCCAGCGAGCTCACATTCCTTTAGACTCCCTCCACCACCGGCAGAGATGGTAGAGAGGGAGCCCCTGCAGACAGCCCCGGGAAAACCCTCTGAGTCACCATTCCTAGCCTCAATGCCAAATCCTGACACTCAACTCCCAGAAAAGCCTTTGGCAGTTAGTTCCTCCTCCTTCCTCAGAGGAGTGGAAGGAAAAAACCTCATTCTGTTCACTTAGCGCAGCGATTTTCAACAGGTGTGCCACAAGAATTTTTAAAACATGCAGGACCTGACTAGCGAGGGCTCTGACCTCTTATTCCTTAAATTGTCCAATAAAAAAACAGTGGCCAACACAACAATAACCCTCCCATGTGAGTGAGTCAAAATTATACCAATCTTTTTTTTTTTTTTTATCAGATTGGCAAAACAATTTTTTGTGTGTGTGCCACAGAATTTTAGTAATTAGTTTATATGTGCCATGAGATGAAGAAGAGTGAAAATTGCTGGCTCAGAGGGTAAAAGGTAGGGGAATGTAGGAAGCTGAAATCTCAGACAACGATCAGGTAGGTATTGCACACCTGCACTTCATTAGGCACAAATCAAAACACTATCTCATACAAATATTACCCCAACACTATGAAGAAGGTGCTAGGCACTTTTTTTCTGAGATGAAGTAAGTGCAGTCCAGAGAGGTTAAATGACCAGCTTAAGTTCAACCTAAATTATAGCCAGAGCAGAAGCTAAAACCTGCTTATTTTTTTTTTACACTTCCAGATGAGGTAACTAGTAAGGAGTAGGGACCAGTTTGGTGAAATTGTACCATTCCCCCTCACCTAACACTAAAAAAACAACACACCATTAAAAACCAGAATGAACATAGGGCCTTTCCAAACCTCCCCATATAGAAGGCCATTGACCAGAATCAATTTTCTGGTGCTGCAGGGAGGGTGGGAGTGGGGTGGGAAGGGCCCAGAAAGAGAACAAGTTAGGTGCCTCTTCTGTGCTCTCCCTCCATTCCCAGGGAGGCGTGGGTCCTCACTGTATTAACATCACTTCTTTCATGACACTGGCTCCCCCAGTAAACTATGTACCTGTTAAGGATAAGGATGCCCCCACTAAGTTGGAACTGCCTGGAAGGGAATATAAGGGGCCACTAGACTAATGACTTGCCTCGGACACCCCTTGCTCACACCCCATCCGTACCAGGTCCCAGAGGCCTGCCAGATACAGACTGAGCCCTTAAGTAAGCCAGCCCAACCTTCCAGGGAAGAAGAAATAAGGAGAAGGGGCCCAAGGGGGCTAAAAAAGACAATGAAGTCTTCCAGCCACGCCATGAACTTGTCAAGGCCAGCAGCTAGCATGAAGGGTGGTGGTGGCGGTAAGCAGGGGCCTGCCTTGGCTCATGTTCCAGGAGCTGGTGACTATTTCAATCTCAGGCTATCATCCCAAGGGGAGTGACTACGTGCTCCTGGGGCTACCCAGGCCCTCAGCTTTTCCCTTTGAGCTTGCTACACTGCCAGCTTAGGACATCTTAGCCAGTAGCAGGAAAAGGCCTGTTATGTCAGCTTTTCCCTGAGCTGGGCCTCTGGTGGCCAGGGCTATGGGTAGAAGATCCAGGAGGACCCAGGGATGGAAGGATGTCTCTTGAACAAAAGGATGACAGTAACCACACTTGATTGAGTCTAAGAAGCCATAGGCTGTAAGATGCACTCCCATTTCAGATACTGAAATTCGAAATAAGTGTTCATCTTAAAATCAATTAAATATATGAAGAATGGAGAACTTTTTAAAGGGTACTTTCTGTGGGCTAAACATGGTACTGAAAGCATTATATACATTACATCATCCTCAAAACAGCTCTATGATGTAGATTCTACTATTACTTCCACTTTACAGATTAACAAATTGAGGCACTGAGAGGCTGTGTCACTCATATTATCACAGTAAGGAGAACTTGAACTCAGAACTGTCTAACTCCAAAACTCTGCATCTACTCCATGTGGCCACACTGGAGCTGCTGAGGGCCAGGGACCCACCCTCCACCAGGACTTGTGCTCTGCAAAAACAGCTTTTCTGATCCCTAAAACCTAATCTGAAGCATTTTAAGAGTTAGTTTTTGGACTCCAGCCAGCACCACTGGGCTCGGAGAAGGTTCCTTCAGGTAGATGTGGCTGCTGGGGGAGGGTTTCAGCTCCCAACACTGAGCGATGCTGTCCTATTTCAAAAACTCCCCTTCCAAAGGAAGATAAGACGGCTTCCATGCAGACCCCTCTTGCTTACTAACCCTAATTGGCTTTGCACTCTTTCAGGACCAAGTCCAGCTCCTTGTTATAGCTTGTAGAATCCTCTATAACAGCGGTGGAGAACCTTTTCCTGCCAAAGGCCATTTGGATATTTATAACATCATTCACAGGCCATATAAAATTATCAACTTAAAAATTAGCCTGTTATATTTGGTCATGCATTTAATTAACTCACCCCTAATGCCTCAGCAGGGCAAAACCAAATGATTTCAAGGGCCTTATACTGCCCACAGGCCGACGTGTCCCGCCCCCCCCCCCCCCCCCCCAACCTGGCCCTGAGAGCTTCTCCAGCTCCATCCTGAAGCACAGTCCCTAACAGAGGTCTGAGGAAGCTGTGGACAGGGGGCCTCAGACAGAGCCTATGTCCTACCCTGGTGGAACCTGCTTGATGCTGGGAAGCTAAGCAAGGCCCAAGGACAGGAACTCTGGCCTTGCTAAGACAATGTTTCTCCACCACCACACACCCGCTCAAACCCAGGTGGTGGGGCCGAAACCGGTTTGGCTCAGTAGATAGAGCATCGGCCTGTGGACTCAAAGATCCTGGGTTTGATTCTGGTAAAGGGCATGTACCTTGGTTGCAGGCACATCCCCAGTGGGGGGTGTGCAGGAGGTAGCTAATTGATGATTCTCTCTCATTGATGTTTCTGACTATCTATCCCTCTCTCTTCCTCTCTGTAAAAAAATCAATAAAATTAAATAAAAATCTAAAAAAAAAAGGGTTATAAAAAAACAACCCAGGTGATGGGGAGAACAAGGGCTCTGGAGCCAGAAAGATCTGGACCCATGGCCTAGTTCCTCTGCTTCTAGTAGTGAGTCCTGGGGTGGACTATGTACCTTCTACTTATCTCAGTTTCCTCATCTGAACACAGGAATAGTAATCCATCTCCCCAAGGGTGGAGAGGAGGTTGTGAGGACTGAGTGACAGAGTGAGATGCTGTTTTAGAAACAATCAGCATGGTGCCAGCCACTTAGAAAATGCCGGCCCCTCCAGGGGACGCAAGGCAGGTGCAGAGGCTGCACTGGGTTCTGCTTCCACCACAAAATTCTCAGGCCTAGAGCTGGGAGCCCAGCCCTGCGGCCCCCTCCTCTGGATTCCCTGGAGTCTGCTGCCACACCCGTGGGCACCGCCCCCTGCCCGGCCAGAGCACAGGGAAGGAAGGGGGGAGGCACGTACTGCCGCAGAGGTCGCCGAAGATGTAGTAGCACTGCTCGGAGAAGGTGATCTTGTTGACCGTGTGGCGGATGAAGCCAGCTTTCAGCAGGTTGCTTGCATACTTGCGGGCTTCTCGCCGGTCAGTGAAGCCTTCCACGTTGTGGTACAGCCAGTCCACCACATCCGAGCCTGCGAGCAAGGCTGCCTTTGATTGGGAGGTCCCCCTTGGGCTCATCTGGCCTCACAGGAGCCATGAGGCGGGGCCTGGTCCCAGCTCAAGGGAGTTACTGGGTGCCCAGCCTATCCTTCTCCCTCACTGCCCACCACCCCATCCTTCATCCCAACATGGGGCCCTCTCACCGATGAAAGCGTTGGGGATGGTGATCTTGAGCCACATGCGGTCGCGGACCTCCAGCCCGGATTCAGGGGAGGCCATGGCTTTCACAATAGCAGCCATGTCGCTGTGGATGGACAGGTGAAAGTCGTCTAGGCCTGGGGGTGGGAAGCAAAGTGGTCAGGCAGAAAGGGGGTGTGGAGTTAGGCAGACAGGAGTTTGCATTCCAGTTCTACCACCTAATAAATATAGACTACTACTGGACAAATTATTGACTTCTTGGACACTCAGTTTCTTCTGTTAAAATAGGGACTTTCACATCTATTTTATAGGGATGTTTGAAGATAATTAAATAATGTAAATGAAGGTGCTTAGTACAGTGCATAATGTGTGTTATGATAATAAAAATGGCAGTCATTATTATGTGCTTGCTTTGTGCCACACACTGTAATAATTGCTTCACTTATATCCTCTCATTAACCCCCAGGAACCTGGTAAAGTGCACATCTTCAGTCCCATTTTACAAGAGGAAACTGAGGCTTACTGGGTGCTCAATACCAGTCAGAAGCAAATACTGTTTAGTGAGCTTCGGGTGTCCCCTGAGGGAAGCTGCAGTGTGAGGTAGCTGGAATGAGCCGAGACCCCTCCAGCCCCTCTGCCTTTCAAGCAAGTCTCCACGTGGACCTCCATCAGTCCCTCTCCCCTGGCCCTGTCTGCTGGGACCAGGGGACAGGGCTGGACACTCACGCTCTGTGTCAGGGATGGAGCTGGTGATGGAGGAGCTGGTGGAGGTGATGGTGCTCAGGGAGGGGCTCATGCCGTAGGCAGGGAAGGTGCCAGTCATGGCTGCAGTGTGGGAGACCCAGGCCGCAGGGTCAATGGGCCGGATGGGCTCGCCTGCAGGGAGGATGAGGAGTTAGGGACTGCCCACTCTGCCCAGTGCTGGGCCCAACAGGGTAGATGTGAGGGTTCCGGGCTACACAGAAGGCAGGACAGACAGGGCTCATGTGTGCCAGACACCCGTTTCAGGGCCGAGTTCCCCATCCACTTACTCCTGGGCAATGTGAAGCAGCCACGTGGACTTGGGTCCCAGCACTTGGCTACAGTCAGGGTGATGGGCCTGAAAGCAAGGGGGTCCCTAGTGAGGGCAGGATGTAGGGAGGCGAGACCAAGCCCCTTGCCTGATAGCCAGCAATGCCTGGCACCTCCTCCGCAATGCTTCAGCCCAACCGTACCCTGGTTTGTGCACAATCTCCCGCAGTACCCGGACTGCGTCGTCATTACTCATGTTCTCAAAGTTGATCTCGTTTACCTGGGAAATAGGACCAGGAATGGGATAAGCGGCCGAGCTGGGGAGGGAGTTAGGGAAGCTTGGTGGATCAGGAGGTTTTCCCCACCAAGAAGGGGCCTCTGAATAGGGTAGAGAGGGTATAAGGAATGAGAAGGAACAGAGGGCACACCCACTCCCTGTCTGCACCCCCAGCCCCAGGGGACAATGGTACCTGTAACAGCATATCTCCGGGCTCGATGCGTCCATCAGCAGCCACGGCCCCGCCCTTCATGATGGAGCCGATGTAGATGCCTCCGTCACCGCGCTCGTTGCTTTGGCCCACAATGGAGATGCCCAAGAAGTTATACTTTTCTACAGGAAGTAACAAGACCCTGAGACGGGAGCAAGGTTCCTAACCAGATTCTGAGCCCCTTGTTAGAAAGAGTGGAAAGGGACAAGAACTACCATTTATGGAACTGGAGCCAGGCACTGTGCTCAGCGTGCTCATTTAATCCTTGTCTCTCAGTCTTATTTTACAGAGCAGACAACTGAGGTTCAGAGGATCTAAGTGACTCTTCTAAGCCATTAAGTGGCAAAACCAGTATTCAAACTCATTTAAATTCCAGGCCAAGTTGGGGTTCTTTTCCCTACATCCAGCTATCTCCTAAAAGAGTGGGTAGGGCAGAAATCAGAGAACAAGAATGCAACAGCTAAAACATGGGGAACGGGAAGGAATCAGAAATCACTCCCTCCAGCAAGCCTTCCCTGATGCTGTTCTCTGCTGCCATAGCTCCATGTGCTTCTCTCTGTCATAGCCCTGATGATGAGAGACTGCAATAATCAGCGTAGGTTTAGGAAAGAGAGCTCCTTGAGGACAGGGAACATAACTTGTGTCTCTTTAAACTCCTCGGGTCTGCCCAGTGTCTGGCATACGGTAGGCACTCAGAGTGTGGTTTCACCAGACTCACCCATGTTGAGAGTGACCGTGATGATGTTGAGGGACATAGTGGAGTCCGTGATGCTGCTGAAGGATGAGGACTGGAATAGACAGAGACTCTGAGCAGCAGGCAGGGGTGGCAGGAGCTCACTGCTCTCCCCTAGCTCCTCCTCGGGGTGAGCCTTCAGCCACCACCTTCCCTCTAAGGCTTTAAACGCTGACCCGAGGGGAGGGGACCTGCGGACGGATAAGCCCCGCCTTGCCCCACTCACCCCTAGCCGCCCAGGTCCCATACCCGCTCAATCCGGGAAACCTTCTGCTTCCGCCGCCGCCGCTTGTGTCTTCTCATCAGGCGTGAGGCACTGCTCTGCTCTGTGGAGCTGCTGAACCTGCGGGGCCCACAGTCGTTCCCCACCAGGCTGACCTAGCCCTGCCCCGTGAGAGGCACTGCAGGGCCCAGGTCCCCAGCACAAGGCCCACATCCCTCCCAGGGGCCCAGTATCCTCAGGGTTCAGAGCCCCAGAGGGGTCACCTGCCCACCAGTCCTCATGAAACCAAGGCCCTACCTGCTGGTGGAGTCATCCTCCTCGGAATCAAAGAAGCTGGTGGTCTCCAACTCGCTGCTCATGAGGGTGGTCGAGCTGTCATAACCCCCCGGCTCTCGCCGCCGCTCCCCTTTTGCAGTTCCGTTTAGCCGGGTTGCTGCAGGGGATGGAGGCAGCTGGGTCCACAGTGCCCAGCGTAGGAGGGGAGGGAGGAGAGGCCGGCCGGGGGCTGCGCTGGGGCCAGTCCTATCCAGAGCTTGGGCAAAGGGGTGGTCAGCTGAGTGGAAGCTGTGGGGAGGGCATGGGGGCCGGGGGGAGGGGGGAGGCATCTGTTCAGGGAAGACGCACTGTGCTCTGGGCCGTCCCTCCTGCGAGGCCGCTCCCGCTGGGCAGACACCAAGGAGTCCGTCTCTGTGTCGTTGTCCAGGTTCTCCTGGCTGCCCCCACCAGCATGAGGGCTGCAGGGAAGACAGGACTTGGTGGGGGAGGGGGCCGGCTGGGGGCTCCCTCCCCCAGCCCTGGGCTGAGCTAAGCTGGCCCTCCCCACAGGCCCTGCGGACCCTCAGGTCACACTCACTGGAAGGACGGCGGCCGGGAGTCCCCGATGCCTCCTGTGCGCTCCATGGGAGGCGGCAGCTCCGATGGGTTATCAGCGCAGAAGGGAGCTGGCTCTGGGTGCGAGCCTTCAGCTGACACCAGCTGATGGGGAGAAAATGGGAAGGTATGGCACGAGGGCAGGGAGAAGTAGGATAGTTGGCTTCTGGCAGGGCATGAAGACTTGGGGCGAAAGAAGCAGGGGACACGGAGGGGAAGGAGACAGGACTACGCAGGGACAGCTGACCCACTGCCAGGCTGATGGTGGCAGGGAAGCATGGGCGGTGAAGAGGGATGGGGGCAGCGGGTAAGGGTCCAAGGCAGAGTCCAGCAGGTGACAGAGGGAATCTGAGGCAAAGTGCCTCAAAGGGCATAGGAATCAATTTTGCCTCCTATGTATGTTTCTGTACCCGCCTTTTCCCTTCACACCTGTCCCCCAGTTTTCACCCAGGCTATAGATAGAATTTGGGGTAGAAACTGTTCAGTTAGAAACTCAAGGACCATTCAGATACTGAAACATAAAACCACCAGCTATACCTTAGCGATGTCTTCCCTCCATCCACCCCATGGCAGGAATGTGGACGGAGGGAGGGTTGAGGAAGGGTCCTTACCCAGGACACCACCCGGCCATTGAAGCAGGGCAACTTGGCATTGTCATCTGAGATCTCCTCCTTCACCACTCTGCAAGGAAAGGAGGCTGTCAGTGAGTGAGCTCTCTGGGGTAGAAATGGAGGTATCTTCGCAACCCCAGCTCTCAGGGGCTCCTCCACCCTAAACTGGGAATCAAACCACCAGCACGAGCCTGTTCAAACAGCATGGGTGGGGATGGCCCAGCTGCCTTTGGGGTGTGTCTCTCAGTCACCAGGTGATTTGCAAATTACACCTGACAGATCGCTGCCCCCATGAGTGCCACCACTCCCTAGAATCTCAAGAGTGCTTTATCCATACCCAGTCAGGCTCTCAGGGGCTGGACTTTTTCTTTCCCTCTGACCCTAAACTAGGAAAAAGCACACCCTGATTACCGTCCTTCCCTTCTCAGCAGGGAATCCGGAAAGACATTTACTGCCGTTATGATAACAGTAACAATTGCTCTCATTGATTGAGTCTGTATTATGGGCCAAGCACTAAGTGAACACTTTACTTGTATCATTTCGTTTAATACAGCAATGCTATAGGTAAGATACAGATGGGGAGACTAGGGTTCAGTAGGTTCAGAAATTCACCTATAGTGACACCACTACGTGAAGTGCTGGGATTTGAATCCTCATCATCCTGACTCCAAACCGATTATACCATCTTATCTCCACACAGTTATAACATATATTCTTCACACCGGCCTCATTGCATAGACCTGTGGTCGGCAAACTGCGGCTCGCGAGCCACACGTGGCTCTTTGGCCCCTTGAGCATGGCTCTTGCACAAAATACCACAGCCTGGGTGAGTCTATTTTGAAGAAGTGGTGTTAGAAGAAGTTTAAGTTTAAAAAATGTGGCTCTCAAAAAAGAAATTTTAATCGTTGTACTGTTGATATTTGGCTCTGTGGACTAATGAGTTTGCCGACCACTGGCCTGGACAATATGATCCCCGTTTTATGAATAAGGAACTGAGAAACATTCAGTAACCTGTCCAAGGCCACAGAGCTAGAAGATGTCAGAGTTGAAATTCAACCCTAAGCTTGTCTGGCTCTAAACCCCACACTCTTTCGACAGTATTTCACATTCTGTCCTGTACGACAGAGGGGATGTGGGTCTGTGTGGAAGGTGAGCTAGGGGAGGCAGTGATGTGAGGCATGGGGGGTGGGATGTGGTCAGAGGCAAGAAGTCACACCAGGACTACAGTTTGACGCCAGCGAAAGAAACCAGAGTAGCTTGAGGTCCCTCAGACTGCATCCAACACCCAGGACAGAGCTGGAAGGATGTGACCAGGGGCAAGAGGGAGACACATGCCTGGAGCTCTGAGCAGAGAGGGAAGGAGGCTGCGAAGCCCAGTGCTCCCTGTTCTTGAAGAAGTTCTGCCCAGAACTGGGAACGTGCTTGGCTCCTTGCGATGTTCACATTCTTGGACTCACAGCCAAGTTCGAAGGCCGAGCCTACCCTCCCCCTTCCCATCCAGCCCTGGCTCCTCCACCATTTCCAGCCCCACCGCGACCCCGAGAGAGCAGCTCAAATCATCCTGCTCAGGGCCATGTGGCAGAAAGCCTGGAGACAGAACAGGCGGGAAAGAAGGGACAGAGAGAAGCACCTCAGACCTGTCAGCCAGTCCAGCCGAAGGACACCCTAAGCTTACAGCCCCCTGTGGGAACTGGGGCGCAAAAGGAAAAGAGGGTGTGTGGGACACATGGCAGGGGCTCTGTGACCTGCGTTAGAGAGGGTATCCCCGTGGTGGGGATCTGCGGCTGAATCCCCACGGCCCTCTCCCCCAAGAGGGCCCCACCACACAGCTCTAGCTACAGATGTTTCCTTTCTTTCTGGGGGTCACTGACAGGTCACCAAGGCTCTGTTGACTCATAACGATCAGCTGATCAGCCTCAGACAGCCCCCCCACCCAGTGGCGCTAAATGGTTCAGGGTTCCACTGCACGCGTGCACGCACCACACTCTCACAAACTTGGGTTTAGATTCCAATTCTGCTACTTATTAGCCCTCCCATCTTAGAGAAGTTCCTTCACTTCTCTAAGCCTTTGTCTCATCCTGGTAAATGGGATTTGTAAATGCCTGGCACAGTCCAGACATACCATAAAAGCTAGTTTCTCACTTGGTGAATTTTTAGCAAGATCCATACTGGGAGTAAGTTTGCAAGGGCAGGAACCAAACACATCTGCCCATCATTCACCGTTCATGCAATTAAAAAGCCTTAGTTGAGAGAGAGCCCAGTGAGTGTTAGATCCTGTGCTTGCTGTTGTCTGAACTTCAAGAAGCATCGGACCTGGAGCCTGCCTTGCTCCTTGAGGTTACAGTCCAGTAGACAGTTCACATAAGCATATTCCATGTGGGAAGTGGTCAGAGTAGTCAGACCAGCAGAAGTGTTCACTGGACAGACATCTGCTCAGTGACACTGATGTCAAGTCCTGGCTAGGAGCAGGTGTATGAATAAACAGGATAAAATATCGTAACTTTAAAAGCTGCACCCAGAGGCAGGAGAATTTGGACATGGAGAGTCAGGGGAAGCAGCAGTGTTCCAGGCAAAAGGCCCAGAGGCAGGACAGTGTGAAGGCAGGACGGTGTGACATGGACAGGGAGGAACATAACCAGCGACTCTACTTCCCATGGAGTCCCTTCCGCAGCTCAAGGCCACGCTAGCAATGGGTACTGTGTTCTACACACTGTCTCCTCAGGGGTAAAAATGCTTATTCTTCTTCCATTTCCCAAATAATGTAAGAGGGGTGGGCCTACCCTGAGCTTGACAAATCGTCTGGAGACCTCACACACTAGAACCTGAGGGTGAGCCTGGAGGGATGCAGAGAGGCAGCCTTCCTCCTCGGCACCACGGCCCCTGTCAGCCGGGGTCACGGGCCTCTGTCTGACCTCCTCATACGGGGCTAAATGGCAGCCCTATCACCTCTACAGTTTGCCAAGGCTCAGCAGCTCCCTCAGAGAGGCTGCATCTGTGAAATGGTGATAATAGTAGTAATACCTACTATAGTGGGATTAAGGCCTTGGGCTGAAGAGCCAGATTCCTGATGTTGAATCAAGTGTTGCCACTAACTAGCCAGACTGTGTGACCTTGGGTAAGTTACTTCAGGTTTTTGCGCTCTACTTTCCTCATCTGCAAACGGATGGCATTACTACCTACTTCATAAGGCTGTTAAGAGAATTAAATGAGTAAAAATTAGAAAAGCCCTTAGACCAGTGTCTAGTACACTGTAAGCGCCATAAAGAGTTGATTAAATGTGTGTGTGTCTGTGCGCGCGCGCGCGCACACACACACACACACACACACACACTCCTCTATTCCTCAGCTACTAGTCCTTTGTGGTAAGCCTACCAGGTCTGCTCATTACTCCTTCTGGGGATAAAAAACAAAATCAATCTCCTCCATTTCATTTTTAGCATTGTTCTCGATCCTGTAAAAATGGCCTACTCTGATACTTTACAAAGGAAGTTCAAGTAACAGTGACGTATGCAAGATGTGTTCAGGTGTTACCTGAATGAACATTGCTTAATTCAACAGTTAACATTTATTTTTAACATAGCTTATAAAAAAATATAAATAGAAAATCAGACGGGTGATTGCCTATTACTGATTTGGCCAAGCTAAGGAAGAGTGAGTGGACTGACAGTGAATTTAAAGAACAATATTGTCAAGAGTGAGCAGATGTGCCGAAACCGGTGTGGCTCAATGGATATCGAGCGTCGGCCTGCAGACTGAAGGGTCCCACGTTCGATTCCGGTCAAGGGCATGTACCTTGGTTGCGGGCACATTTTTAGTAGGGGGTGTGCAGGAGGCAGCTGATCGATGTTTCTAACTCTCTATCCCTCTCTCTTCCTCTCTGTGAAAAATCAATAAAATATATATATATATATAAAAAGTGAGATGTCATGGGGGGGTCTCCTATGACTGCAGTTAGGCCTGGCCAGGGGTAGGGCCAGCACACTGGACTCCAGCTGATGTGCCCTTATCCCCAGCCCCTGAGGCAGGATCTCAGACTCTCCTAACTCCATTCTTCTCTTACCAGGCCAAGGCATCACCCTCTCCCTCCCTTCCCTTGCCGATTGATGTCATCCTTCTTCAGAATTTTCCAGAGGAGATTCCCTGGAGAGGCTGGACCTCCAGGATCCGAAAGTAGGGGTGCCTGTCTCTGGGCTGAGGCCAGACTATATCAGACATCAGGAGTCCCCCACCCCGGGGTAAGCATAACAGCAGCAGAAAGAAGGTAAGAAGCGGCACAGCACTTTCCCCTGGAAAAGCACTTTCACACACAGGAGCTCTCGGGCTCATCAGACCCCGAGTTCCAGGGCGAAAGGTGACAACAAAACATGCCAGGCTAAGGGGGGAGAGGGTGCTTGCTTCCCAGGGCCAGGAGGGCTGGGGTCCTGGGAGAGAAGCCAGACACAGGAACGCTGGGGAGAAGAATGTCTGCCCTCACTCAGCTCCGGGGCCTCCGCTGCAGAGCAGGCAGGCCTCTGGCTAGGGCTGCAGAGGCTGCCTTCAGGCTTCCCCGCAGGCCTCCAGGCCCGGCGCCCAGTTAGTGTGGGGGCCTTCCCCTCCCCCAGTCCCCTAGGAGTTGGGGTGTGTGTGAGGGGCTGGCCAGGCTCCCCCTCCCAGGCCAGCTGCTGCAGAACCTTCCGGCTCCAACATTCCATCCCTTCTTAAAGGGGCAGTCCTTGCTTCCAAACTGGGCCTGTCCAAAGCCCACAGCTGGGGAGGAGAAGACCAGGCAGGGAGGGAGGGGAGGCGACCAAGAGGCGCTTCCTGGCCCTTGGACCCAGGCTCTGAGGCCCTTTCCAAGACCACCCCCTGGGAGGGAAAGGCCCCAGGTTGGAGAGGAAATCAGCACCTGGGCTAGTGTGGGTTCCTCTCCTTCGGGGTCAGGCGTTCTGCTCCCTTGACAACAACATCCTCAACACCCCGCAAGGAAAAGCGGGGGGACGGCTAAACTCCCTGTCTGCAGGCCTTAGCTTCCAGCCTGGCGCCTGAGCACCCCTCGCCTCCCCCTCCCCTCAAAGTCCCACAGCACAGCCCTGGGATGCACGGTACTCCAAATATGGCTCGGAGCTGGGGAGCTGAGAAGATGGAGAAGAAGGCCGAGTGCCAAACCCCCCAAGTCTGTACTGATGAGGTGGCTCCGTGGGCAGGGGGACGGGATGGGGTGAGGGTGCTGGGTGGAGGTGGAGGGTGTGTGTGTGTGTGTGTGTGTGTGTGTGTGTGTGTCTGAGCCGCTGGCCTCTGAGAGGTGAGGGGGCTTCCCGGGCTGGTCCTCTGATGGCTCTTGGGGAGCTGGACGTCCCCCCTAAACCAGGGGGGCCAAGGCTCCCAGAGAGGCTGGACCTCCAGGAGCTGAAACAACCCAGGGGGGGACCCCCAAAGGCCGAGGGGCCCCCAGCATCCAGGGCAGGGCTAGAAGCCAGGGGTGCAAGGAGGGTGCACCCTGCTCGGCGGCCTCTGGAAGCCGGAGCGGCTGGGGTCCCCCGGAGGCGAGGCGAGGCGAGGCGGGGGGCCGTCCTCACCCGAAATCGTCGTCCATGGACTTGAAGAAGAACTTGTAGCTGGGCCGCTGCAGGACGCCCTTAAAGTCCGCCAGGGTGACGCGCTCGGCGGGCAGGGGCAGCTTCACCAGGTACGGCGTCTCCTGCCCGTCCAGGTGGTAGATGATCTTGGTCTCGCCCATGGCGCCGGCCTCGGGCCCGGCGGCCCGCGCGCGGCCTGCTCCGGCGGCGGCGGCCGGGCCGGGCCTCTCGGGCGGCGGCGGCGGCGGCGGCGGCGGCGGCGGCGCTCGGCGCGGTCCGCGGCTCAGCCCAGCCCCGCGCCCGCCGCGCCGCCCGCTCCCTTGTTCTCCGGCCGCTCCCGGGTCCCAGCGCCGCCGGCCGCCGCTTCCGCTCCGCACGCTCCCGGCCGGACTGGTGGCGGCGACTCTTCCGGTGGCCGCGGCCCTCCCGGCTCTGGGCTGCGGCCGGCCCGCCGCTCCCCCACTCCGGCCCGGGCGCGCCCCGCCCCGCCCCGCCCCGCCCGGCCGGCCCCGCCCCCGGCCGCCCCGCCGCGCTGGCCCCGCGGCGGACCGCCTGTCCGCGGCCGCAGACACTCCGCCCGCCCGCCGGGCGGCGCGCTGGAGCTTGCGCTCACGTCCCAGGCCCCCGGGGAGCGTGGCCGGGGAAGTCTAGGCCCACCCCCCCAACCCCCGGGGGCCGGGAAGGCCGGTCTTCCCAAGGTGGCCACGTTCCTGGACGCCTCTCCCCGGTCCGGGCTCCGGACCCCGCGGAGACGGGCTGCTCCCTGTAGCGGGGACGGGTGGGACGCGGAGGTCGCTCTGGTCTCCAGAGGTGAGAGGGGGACACTTCAGACCAAGTATCCCTGCCTGGGGGAAAGCGACCTCGACGAGGCCCTGTAGCGTCTGTTAAGAAACATAGCTGCTGGGTAGCAAGTCTACCAAATCTAGTGCCGATGCCTTCTTACAACTGCAGTACCTAAGTGCAAAGCAGTGGTTTAATAAATGCACTGAGCCCAGCTCATTTATTTAGCAGTGGTTGAGCGGCAACCTATGAGCCAGGTCACGGTTTGAGTCCCCGTCTGGGCACATGCGTATGTTGTGGGCTCAATCCCCAGTAGGGGGGGGGCGAGCAGGAGGCAGCTGATCAATGATTCTCATCATTGATATTTCTCACTCCCTCTCCCTTCCTCTCTAAAATCAATAAGACTATATTTAAAAAAATAATAATAAATAGACTGAATGCAGAATGAGTGCAAGAATGAAGATGCACGTCTGACTGGGATAGTAAGTCTCAAACCAGAGCTATTATAGATAGAATTGGTTCCTAACAGATCTCATCCCTTACTAATGAATACTGAGTGCCAAGGCATACTGCAAGAGATAGAACAAAAACAAGACATAAGGTTGCCCTCAGGACATTTTCTTATCTGGAAGGAGGCTTGCAAATAAACTTCAAAGTGACAAATGCTATGAAAAAGATAGGTGTTAGGCGAGAAAATAAACTGGAACCAGCTCACACAGGTCCTTTCAGGTCACAGTAACAAGTGTGAGCTCCTTCTCACTTCATTTTGTACACTATTGCCAAATTAACATTTCAAGAATAAGTAGCTTTTTCAGACACTTCTGCTCCGAAACTTCTCTACATTCCCCAGTGCTTTCCAAATATCCTTAGTATGACATGGAAAACCCTCCATAATCTAAGCTATATCTTATACAGACTTTTGTTTCATTATATATCCTGGCTAAATTTTTTTTTTAATCCTCACCCTAGGATATATTTAGAGAGAGAGGGGGAGGGAGGGTAAGAGAGAAACATCGATTGGTTGCCTCCCATACCCACTGGACTAGGGATCCAACCCATAACCTCGATATGTACCCTGAATGGAAATCAAACCCACAATCTTTTAGTGTATGGGACGATGCTCCAAACAACTGAGCCACCCCACCAGGGCCTGACTAAAGTTTTTACTTCAGCAAGGTGACCTATTAGCTATCTCTTGCACAAAATATGTATTTTCATTTCATACCCTTCCCTTTATATTTTTACTAGAGGCCCAGAGCACAGATTTGTGCCCCGGTGGGGTCCCTCAGGGTGGCCTGCAGGGATGGGGCGAAAACAGCAGCCCAACACTACCTGCCACTCCTGCTCATCCTGGCCCCGCTGGGTTTGCTGCCACCTCCCCTCGGTAGACTTGCACCTGCTCTGCTGTGGTGGGCAGCGGTGAGCCCTGAGTCTAGCACCCTTCAGTCAGTGGTCAGCTGAGTGGTGCTCCCTGAGGGGGGAGGTGGGGAGGAGACAGCTCCTGCATTGAGCGTCTGCCCCCTGACGGTTAGTGCGTGTCGACTGGTTGTTTAGGCTTTTATATGTATATATATTGAATTTATATATTTTAAATTGAATTTATTGGAGTGACATTGATTAGTAAAATTATGTAGGTTTCAGGTGTACAATTCTATAATATGTAATCTATATATTGTATTGTCTGTTCACTACCTCACCTTCCCTTTATTTTTATTTTTTGTTATTCATTTGTTTGTCCTTTCTTTTTTTAATTTTAAATTCTTTACTGTTTAAAGTGTTATATAAGTCTCCCTTTCCCCCCATTGACCTCTCCCCAGCCACCCCACCCCCCAGCACATATCCTCACCTCCACTCTCACTGTCTGTGTCCATTGGTTATGCTCATATGCATGCATTCAAGTCCTTTGGTTGATCTCTTACCCTCTCCCCCACTGCCTTCCCTCATAGGTTGGACAGTCTGTTTGATGCTTCTATGACTCTGGTTCTATTTTTATTCATCAGTTTATGTTGTTTATTCACCTTCCCTTTACTTTAAATTTCTATCAAAGCAAATGTGTGAATAGTAAAATAGTATTAAGAAAGCTCTGAACAGCCCTAGTTGGTTTGGCTCACTGGATGGAGCATCAGCCTGTGGACTGAAGGGTCCCAGGTTCAGTTCCAGTCAAGGGCATGTACCTTGGCAGCTTATCAATGTTTCTCTCTCATCGATGTTTCTAACTCTCTGACTCTCTCCTTTCCTCTCTGTAAAAATCAATAAAACATTAAAAAAAAAAAAAAGAAAGCTCTGAACAGCAATCTTCTGTCCCATTTCCCTCCCCACCCCAGTATACATTTTTTAGTTCATACTATTTGTCTTTACTTTTTCTAGGCAATTAAAAAAATTATTTATTTTATTTATTATTTTTAAACTATATTTTTATTGATTTCAGGGAGGAAGGGAGAAAGATAGAAACATCAATGCTGAGAAAGAATCATGGATTGGCTGCCTCCTGCACATCCCCCACTGTAAATAGAGCCCACAACCCTGCAAGTGCCCAGACAGGGAATTGAACTGTGACCTCCTGGTTTATAGGTCAATGCTCAACCACTGAGCCATACCAACCAGAGCCATTTTCTTTTTATTATTATTATTTTAATCCTCATCTGAGGACATTTTTATTGATTTCGGTGATAGGATGAGAGACAGAGAAAGATTGATGCAAAAGAAAAACATCAACTGGCCATTTCCTGTAAGTGCCCCGATTGGGAATAAATCCAAAACTTAGGCATGTGCCCAGACCGAGATTCAAACCCAGTCAAACCCTTTTGTTGTATGGTATGCTGCTGACCTACTGAACCGCACTGGTCAGGGACATTTCCTTTTATTCTTAAACTAGTGGCCCGGTGCACAAAATTTGTGCACATTAAAAGGGAATTAGCCTAAGCCAGTTTGGCTCAGTGGATAGAACGTTGGTCTGTGGACTGAAAGGTCCCAGGTTCAATTCCGGTCGAGGGCATGTGCCTTGGTTGCGGGCACATCCCCGGTAGTGGGTGTGCAGGAGGCAGCTGGTTGATGTTTCTCTCTCATCGACGTTTCTAGCTCTCTATCTCTTTCCCTTCCTCTCTGTAAAAAATCAATAAAATATATTAAAAAAGAAAGAAAGAACGTTATAATTAAAAAAAAAAAGGGAATTAATTAGAGGAAATATTTTAATTTTGCTATTTGCCCTTTCTTTATAATACAAGTGTCAGAGATGAAAGAAAATTAGTAAAATGTATATGAAAATCTCCCTCCTATCAGAGTCTGGGGCATGCTGCAGAACTTAGAGTCAAGTCCCTGCCCACCACCCACACGTGCTCTGAAAACGCAGGAGATGCAGATACTGCCGGCCTCACCCCCATTGGGTGAGACCTAGACCTGGCTGGCCCCACCCCGATCAAGCCCCTCCCGGCAGGGGCCGCAGCCTGAGGCCCCCTGACCTGGCACTGGGGCGGGGGGCTATGACCTGAAGTCCCCTGTCAGGCCCTGCCAGGCTGGGGGCAGAGCCTGATGGCCCTCGTTCCTGCCAGGTGCCATACATATTTACATATTCCTCAGATAGATAGATAGAGAGATAGATGACTTCACTTTGTTGCAAGATTTTAATATTGTTTCAATCTTTCCTCTAGCCAATTGAATAGGTAAAATATTCATAATTCAAAATTCAGAAAATATGTAAGGATGGATATAGTCTCCCTCCTATTTGGTCTCTAGTCCTCCAGTTCTCAGTGGAAGGAAACAATTTATTTCTTTTTCATTTCTAAGAACTCTTTTGTTCTCCGGTTGTTCCTTTTTATATCACTTTCTTTATTATCTTTTAATTTTGAGAATTATAGTTTCATTCCTGAAGTTTTTTTAAAAAACAAAACAAACAACAAACTCCTTGTCATTGTTTCCTTGGTTTCAATTTTGTTTTAGTCTCTGCCTTCTGTGCTGGAAGTCTCCTCAAATGGTTGACGGCCCTTGGCAATCTATTCACATTTGAGAGTGAAATACTAAAAAGCTGATTGGAAGCTGTCTCTGTCCAAGGCTTATTAACAGGCTTCAATGTACGGTGATCAAGTTGGGGAAAGATAGCTTATTTTCCCACCAAAAGAAACAACAACAAAAATTTTAGGCTCTTTTCTGCAGTGTTCAGTTTGTTTTTGCCTGGAGCTATGTAGGTGTGTGCTGATATTCATAACCATAACACTAATAAGTCCTTCAATTTCAATCTAAACATATTTTATTGATTTTTTACAGAGGGAGAGGGGGAGGGTCAGAGAGAAACATCGATGAGAAACATCAATCAGCTGCCTCCTGCACACCTCCCACTGGGGATGTGCCCACAACCAAGGTATATGCTCTTGACCGGAATCAAACCTAGGACCCCATGCTCTATCCACTGAGTCAAACTGGTCAGGGTCAATTTCAATCTAGCCCCTAACCTCCCATCTCTGTATTTGCTGCTGAATCCAGAGACTAATAATTTACATTTCCCCCAAAATTCTGAAATTTCATTTGTTATGCTGGGCACTCATGAGCTGTCAGTCTAGAAACTCATAACCTTTGGATTTGGGAAATCTTTGTATTTCTTTGGTAATTTCCTCCCCACCATTTCTCCAAAGACTGAATCTCCCATTTCTTTCAGGGGAGAAAAAGAGGTATGACCTGGCTGGATCATATGATGGGGAATGGAGGGACTTTTATTTCTTAAAATTTTTATTGTTGCAAGTACTGTATTACATATTACAAAAGTCTCCTTTTGTCTCTTATTGATCTCTTCTAACCCACCCCAGCCCCCTCCCCTTTGTGTCCATAGGTTTTCCCACTCACCCCACCCCACCCCCTGCCTTCCCTCTGAGAGAATCTGCTCCATACTTCCATGTCTCTGGATCTATTTTGTTCATTAGATTCCACATAAATAAGATCATGTGATACTTGTCTTTCTCTGACTGGCTTATTTTGCTTAGCACAACTCTCCAAGTCCCTCCATGCTATCTCAAAGGATAAGAGATACTTTTTTACTGCTGCATAGTATTCCATGTAACACAGTTTTTTTGTTTTTAAATATATTTTATTGATTTTTCAGAGAGGAAGAGAGAGGGATAGAAAGTTAGAAACATCGATGAGAGAGACTCGATCAGCTGCCTCTTGCACACCCCCTACTGGGGATGTGCCTGCAACCAAGGTACATGCCCTTGACCAGAATTGAACCCGGGACCTTTCAGTCCACAGGCTGACGCTCTATCCACTGTCCGGGCAACCACAGCTTTTTTATTCACTCATTTATTGATGGGCACTTGGGCTGTTTCCAGATCATAGCTATTATAAATTGTGCTTCTATGAACATAGGGGTGCACAAATCCTTTCTGATTGTGTTAGGGTTTCTTAGGATATATTCCTAGAAATGGGATCACTGGGTCAAATGGCAGTTTCATATTTCATTTTTTGAGGAAACTCCATACTGTTTTCTATAATGGCTGTATCAGTCTGCATTCCTACCAACGGTGTACTGGGGTTCCCTTTTCTCCACATCCTCACCAGCACTTGTCATTTGTTGATAGCCATTCTGACAGGTGTGAGTTGATACCTCATTGCATTTTAATTTGCATCTCTCTGATGATCAGTGTATTTGAGCATTTTTTCATATGTCTCTTGGTCTTCTGTTTGTCCACTTTGGAGAAGTGTCTTATTTAGATCCTTTGCCCATTTTTAAATTGGATTGTCTTGTCGAAACCGGTTTGGCTCAGTGGTAGAGCGTCGGTCTGCGGACTGAAAGGTCCTGGGTTCGATTCCGGTCAGGGGCATGTACATTGGTTGTGGGCACATCCCCGGTAGGGGGTGTGCAAGAGGCAGCTGGTAGATGTTTCTCTCTCATTGACGTTTCTAACTCTCTATCTCTCTCTCTTCCTCTCTGTAAGAAATCAATAAAATATATTAAAATAAATAAATAAATTGGATTGTCTTCCTTTTGTTAAGTGGATATTAACCTTTTATCAGATGTATCATTGCCAAATCTGTCCTCCCATACAGTGTGCTCCCTTTTCGTTTTGTTGATAGTTCCTTTTGCTGCAGCACCTTTTTAATTTTTTTCCAATTTACATTATTCCTTTTTTGTTTAATAAGTCCTTATTGTTCAGATTACAGTTGTCCCTCCCACAGCTTCCCTCCACCCAGTTGCCACCCCACTCTCTGCCCTTACCACCTCCCCAACTGTCCTCATCCATAGGTGTACGATTTTTGTCCAGTCTCTTCCCACACCTCATCCCCCCAAGAATTGTCACTGAACCAAGCCAGTCAGGGCCATAATTTTTATCTTTACCTTTTCTTCTTCCTCTTCTTTTAAAGAATACCTTTTAGCATTTCATATAATACTGGTTTGGCGGTAATGAACTCCTTTGGCTTTTTTTTATCTGTGAAGCTTTTTATCTGACCTTCAGTTCTGAATGATAGTTTTGCTGGGTAATCTTGGTTGTAGGTTCTTGCTGTTCATCACTTTGAATATTTCTTGCCACTTCCATAAGGCCATCAACTGAGAAATCACTGGCCAGGGTGTCATGTTTTTTTTTTTTAATTTCTTTATTGATTATGGTGTCACATAATTATCCTCATCCCCCCATTCCCGAACCCTTCCCCATCTATGCCCACCCCCTGTTGTGCATGACCTCTGTATAGGCTTATATGCATCCACACAAGTCCTTTTGTTGATATCTCCCCTTTGCCCTTCCCCTCCCTTCCCTCTGAGGTCCCACAGTCTGTTTCTGTTCATCAATTTATGTTGTTCATTATTTCCCCTAGATATGTTAGATTAGGGGTGTCGAACTCAATTAGAGAAGGGGCCAAAATCTAAAATCCAGCCTAAATCGAGGGCCGAATTGTTTACTGAACAGTCATAAACTGTCATTGTGATGGAAACGCAGCAGAGTGCAGTGATGACAGCGCGGTGCGGGCCACATTGCAAGGCCTGGCGGGACGGATTTGGCCCGCGGGCCTTGTGTTTGACACATGTGTGTTAGATCATGTGATATAAGGAATTCCCTTATAAGGACGGAACTGAGACAAGCCATAATGGTTATGCTGAGAGGCAAATGAATCAGTCTGTAGTGAGTTCCTTTCTGGGCCAACAGTTCTTTTGAGTCCCCATTTCAATGTCAAACAGTTCCTTATGTGTACATGTCAGCCATGGTATTTCAGATCTGGTTGGTTGACAAACGGTGTTGATGCAGTTCAGACCATCTCTGGTTTGGTCCTGGGCATCCTTCAGCGAGGGAGTCATTTTTAAAAAAAATAATCCTTAGTGGCGTTGAATAGGGTTTTGGAGGGAGTAGAAAGCCCATGTGTTTAATTTGCCGTATTTAAATGGCTTTGTTTTAAATGTTCCCTTCTATCCTTGTCTATTTTTTAGGCCACTCAAGCATCACAATCCTATCTGCCTTCCCTAATTACCATGCAACTGGAAGGAATCTGCTCTTCCTAAAAAGTTCTATAGGTCACTCTGATCTCTGCCACCCTCTCGGTACAAAGCAGAGGTGCCCTATATTTGTATTTAACTGATCCGATTGAGTCCATGACATGACCTTCATATGCTGTCCAGGCACTAGATCTTATACATGGCAAAGCAGAAACAGATTGACTAAGGAAAGTAAATAATGCCAAATCCTGGCCAGCCTGTTTTTCCTCTTTAAAAATACCTAGTAATGCCCTTTCATCATACCTCTTGAGTACAGTTCAGGATCCTCCTCTTCAGCTAACTCCATCCCACCTGACTGAAATGAAGGGAGGTAACCATTTTATTTGTGATTTCCAGGAGGGCCACTTGTTACCGGTAACATTTGCCACAATTTAAGATAGGTTAGATGAAGACAACAAAGAGCTCAAAAAATGAGATAGGAGACCATATGGTTGAGATTAAAGGAGACAATACAGCAGTGACAAACTCCAGTTGTAGCGTCCTGTAACAAATCCTGGCCATATCCATTCCCAGTTACAGGACATCTCTGAACTTCAGTCTCATATGAAAATAAGGATAAGGCTACATCATAGGGCTGATGTGAGTGAACTAACACATGCCAAGTTTTTAGCAAAATGCCTGTTATACAGTAAACTCTCAATATTACGGGAAAACTTATTTTGCAGGATTTTACTGTTTTTAAGATATCCATTGCTGGCTTGGGTTATATAAGCCTCTGTGGGCAACTTCCCTTTGCCTAGGCATTAAATCTGCTGAAGCAAAAAAGAACTGGCTTATGAGACTCAACTCCTTAGCTTTACCTCTCAAGAGTAATGAGACCTTGCCCTAGCTGGTTTGGCTCAGTGGACAGAACATTGGCCTGTGGATTGAAGGGTCATGGGTTCGATTCTGATCCAGGACACATGCTGGGGTTGTGGGTTTGATCCCTAGTAGGGGGTGTGCAGGAGGTGGCTGATCAATGATTCTCATCATTGATGTTTCTCTCTCTCTCCTCTCCCTTCCTCTCTGAAATCAATAAAAATAAAAAAATAAAATAAAAAAGAGTAATGAGACCTTGAGGAAATTTCATTATCTTTAAGATGAAGAGTAGCTCAGTTCCCCTGATAGTAATAGTATAGGATCAACTGGACAAATCATGAGGGACTGGCAGGTGGCTAATGGACTTTATACATCGTGGCATCATCACTCTTTGGAAGAAAAGTGCTTGGACTAGATGCTCTCTGGAAACAGGCTTAGGCACACTATTCCAGGGTCACAAATTGGTCTGCAGAGACTAAGTCCCCATTACCCAGTAGCCTGGCAATGGTCAATTAGCAAGGCACCACAGTGCCATCTAGTGGCCGTAATACTCCTCTTCTGCTCCCCCAGGTGTTAAGGCCGTCGTGTCAGAGGTTCAGAATTACCTATTTCAACAGCTGATCAGACAGAGTTGGACAGAAACCAAACACACCCACTCTCTCTTTTTTTAATATTAACAAATACAAGCAGCAGAAAGAGCCAGCTGCTCTCTGCTGCTTCCTGAGGGAAGGCCAAAATACAAAACTGTGCCTCTAGCCTTCCTCTAACTGCAGGGCCTCATTAGGCAGAGCTATTTTCCAGCCCAACTTCCCTCATTCCAGCTCCTCAGTCAGGATGTGAGGCACATGGTTGCTGGCGGTGAGAAGAATACTGTAGTTCCAGCTTCTGCTCCTTTAAGTCTCAGCCAGGATGGTGGTCACTCATATTCTGCAACTAGCCTCTCACTTGCTCTGGCTCAGAAGCCAGGAGGGCCTTCACTCACACCCACAGGAGCAGGCAGTAGGACTTTAGTCATCTTCAGATGACTCTTCTTCTGCCTCTTTTAACCACTGGATGAACCTTTGCAGCTGTAAGACAGCACAGAGGAGAGCTACTGAGGGAGGAGTACACACCCTTCTGTTCTCCTTGGTGGATAAACGGCTCAAACAATCAGAGTCCCAGGGACCAACCACCCTGTGGGCCAAGGGCCAGACAATCACCATGGCAAGAGGGGATAGCCTGACTCACCTGTTGGTTCTTACGCAACTGCCGGCCCTTGTCAGTTGTATCCTTTTGGTTGTACCAGCTTAGGATTGTTTCCTCAGCTAGGATCTCCAACTGGTAGAAAGCCATCAATACCTGCAGAAGGCCAGCAGAGATCTCAGCGATTATGCAGATTCCAGGAAGATAAATGGATAAGAGGAAGAGGAGGCAAGATCTTAGCACTTCTCATTACCAGGTTCTTAGCTCTCTTTTACACACTGAACAACCTTCTCCAAAACAGAAAAGAGTAAGCTCTTCAGGGTGGTGCTGGGACAGGTATAACTTCTGAAACTATTGCTAGGTAGTGCTCTGCGCATTCCCAGGGCAAAGCTGTACTATCCCGGCAATGAACACAATACCAGAGATGGATGATGCTGCTAACCAAACTCCATATTGGATTCATGTCAGTCTCTGTCTGTAGCTCCCTGGAGGTCACCAAAGCCTGTTTCAAAGCAAATGCAGGACTACAAGTCTTAAGATGGTATTCACCTTGGCCATGGAAGAACCAAGAGCTTCATGCTCCAGGAAGAAATCCTCAATGGCTGCCAGCGCTTCCAAATGATCAGCTGCACGCTTTATGTAGTTCCTAAAAACAGGGCTCCAGACCTTGAGCAGCTGTGGAAGAAAGGAAAAGGGAGCTACAACACATGCCTGACACATACACCTGAACATCAAAGAAAATAAATATTGATAGCATGCATCTTTCATGACATGGGAAGACAAGGAGGTGATACAGGCCCTGTGGAATCATATCAGAAGGACTTAGTAACTGCTAGCAGTCAGGGTTGGGGAAAAAGAGGTTCTCCAGCAATGGTGGAAGGGGGTCAGATATGCAGGCTGCCTCAAAAATACCTACTCCCAGCCTACAGGCTGCTCTCATTCTGAGTCAAATCATTTACAGTCAGAAAGTTTAAAGTCCAGATCTATTCTGGGTATACCTTTGGGGTAGGGTATAGCCTGAATCCTGGAGTCTCAAAGGCCACTCAGCATTGAACCTAACTGGACTCTTCCAGACCAACCAAAGCTGCTCTAGAATCCAGTCTGATTCCAGAGGAGAAAGGAACCACAAGTAACATAATATGCCGCAACAAGACCTTCTATTCCTGATTTCTTTTAAAATCACCACGGCAAGGATGTGTATTTGCTTCCACCCAGCCCCTTGTACTCGGCCCCAATCCTTGCCCACCGGAAGCAGCAGGGCGCAGTAGCGGTTTGGGTCCAGCGGGGAATCTATCTGTTGCAGGGGGAATTCCAGGACCACGTGGCTCAGCACCTGCATCACCTCCTTCAGGCTGATGTTGTAGGCGTACCTGTGGGGAGGCTGTGTGACACCAAGGCCTTCCTGGGCCCTTTCAGCATTGTAGGGCTGCCTTTGGTAGGACACGGGGGAAGAGGGAGTCAGATGGAACAACGTGGAAGGGGAAAATTTTGGAAGGAGGAATATGTCAAGACTAAAACCTAATGCTCTCCTTGCTCCAAATGCTACTGGCTTTGTACAATCGGGATGTCAAGGAAACAGGTTCCTCTGTGGGGAAGAAACAGGAGAGCCTCTGGGATTTCTCCAGGGAAAGAAAACAGGGAGGGGCTGCTCTTACTTGAGAGAGTTGATCTCTAGGACTAGGTTATCGCAAGAAATGTTCTCCTCCTTGCCCCGCTGTAGCGTTCCCAGGACTTCGTTCTGGAACACTAAAAGCAAGAATAAGTTCGTGGGGCCAGAATGTGTTAAGTCGTCTAGTTCCGACTTGATACCAAATACAAGTCTTCGGCTAGTTGATCCAGATCAAGAATAAACTGGAGGCTTTCCTCTTTTATCCCAAGATACCTTTGATGTCATCCATCTGTGGGGAGCCTGCCCGGCTATCTAGCTCCTCGGAATCCATACTTCGCTCACTTTCCGTTTCACTTTCTTCTTCTATGTTGATGGTGAGTCCTGGGAACCCATAATGGGTGAGAAAAAAGAAAAATAAGGAAGGAGCCATTAACAGAGATTCAAATATATGGCCTGTCTGCGTGAATAAAGCAGTGAACGAGTAGCCTGACTCCAAAGTGTTCACTCTCCTTCAAAATGTTCTCATTCGGGAAGGGTGTGCATATGGCAGGAATAAGCCTAGCTCACCCCACAGACTCTGCTGCAGCTCCTCTTCTTCCATGGTCATGTCTGTAGCTTTCCAGAGGTAGCCCTGGCCTGCAACTCCGACTTCTGCTGGATTGTAACCTGGAAAGACACTGATCTTTAGCAAAGGCCTGTGCAAGTACCCATCCCCCCAGGAGGAAACACTGGTTCTCCTATGGGGCAGAGACACACACAGATGCCCCACACCTGCTGAGCCTCACACCTTTCAGCTTCACTTTCTCCTTTTCTTGATCAGCCCCAGAATCATCACTGAACTGGCCATCATCCTCATCTTCCTCTGCATCTGGAGGGTGCAAAGAGATCACCGAGCCCTCAGGCAGTGTGATGTTTGGACCCACCACCACCTAGGGGAGAAAAAAGGAGTGCGTGGCACCGATCCATTAGTGTGCTGGGGGAAGTTACATTCTGACAAAGAGAGTGACTATTTTTTACTAAGCCAAGTAGCAGGCCATGAAACCTCTGGATTTGGGATCTCAGTTCAGGCTGGATTATAGTTGGACATAGGTCCCTTCTGGTTTAGCATGACCACCACTCAGTTTGGGGCCTGTACAGAGTTTGGAACCGGTTCTTACCTGGGAAGTGAGGACACAGTGTGGCTTCAGTGTAACTTGTTCCTTGACCTCAGCATTGTCACAAAGCAGAGACTGATGGATCTGTGCTCCAGCAGCCACTCGAACACCCTTCCACAGGTAGGCCTGGTCCAGCACCACGTTATCACCTGGCTCAAGACAGGAAGAACTCCTGGTCACTCAGGGCTCCAACTCCAGACCAGGCCAATCCTGGAAGACATGGCTGACTGATACCAGCACAGCTCCCATCCAGCTCAAATACTCCATCCCCCAACTCACCAGAAATACCTGCTTCCCTTCTAAGCCCAGGCCTGAGAGTAGAACATTGCTCAGCCTGAACATTCTCCACCAGGTTTATGACAATTATAGACTATCACACAGGACTTAAGAACATGAGAACCTTCAAGATTTCTGGGGACCTCTAGAACTCAAGAAACTTATTAGATTCATGTGCATATCTAAGCCCCCTCTTCTTGTACATTTCGAATTAAAATCTTATTCGTCTTTTAAAGGGACAGTTCAATTTAAAGCATCAGATTCCTACATCCAAAGTGAATCACTAAGAGGCTACCCAGGCAGTATGATAGAGTAAAAAGGACACTGGACTTAACTATCCGAATACTTAGATGTAAGCTGCAGAACTGCCTCTTTAGCCATGACCTTGGGCAACACAACCTCTTTGAGCCTTACCTATAAACTGGGGATGAGTAACACCTTTCTCACAAGGTTTTAGTGAGGACTAAATGAAATAATATATGCAAAAGGCCTTTGTAAGCTTTAATGTACAGATGTTATTATTGCATGTTAATTACCCACTTGGTCCTGAATATGAATATAGGGTAGCCTGGAATGTGAGGAATCACCCAGTAAGAAGCTCACAGGGCACAAATTAAAGCTTCCGTGTTTTTATACTCTGTTCCCTCCTTTATTAAGGTAGCCACTCTAGTTCCCTATTCTCAAGCACTATTCCTCTGTCTCCTTCTCTGGAGACGTGGGCCTCCCCAGGTTCCTACTCTTTAGATGACTGGCTCGACTCCCCCACCTGTGCTCACCAATGTGACAGCCAGGGCCAATGACACTGTTGGTGATGGAGCAATTGCTGCCAATGACAGTGCCAGAGCCCAGGAGCACATTTTCCTCCAGGACGCTGCCATGGCCCAGGCTGACCTCAGGCCCTCGGTAGATGTTGTGCCGGGAATGAGTGCAGTTTTGAGTTGTGCTGTCAGTGAAGTTTGCCTCTGGGGTGAGAGGGTAGACCCATCGGCGGATGACGTCAGCGCAGACAGCTGCATACATGTGAAGGTTGGAGACCCGAGCACCATACTCCCTAGTTGTCACATGCATGTGGATCTGGTTCCCTAGAATCTGAATGAGGACAAGGAAAGGGAGGTCGCCCAAGCAAGCAAGAGAGAAAGAACACCCCCAGGTACAATACTTTTTTTACCTTCTTAAGTTTCCCTCTGCCTCTCAATGTCCAAATGGCCTGAGACTCTCCTTTGTGTACTGCTTCCCCCCAAACCCAGCTATTTTTCTCCCGCCTGAGGCTCAATAAAACAGAAAAGGGGACCAAAAGTTATCTGTATGAGCTGAAATCTTAGCCCTCTTTATTATATTTAAAACATTTAAAAAAAATGTATTGATTGATTTTAGAAAGAGAGAGAAACATCAAGTCTGCTGTCCCACCCATCCACGCATTCACTGGTTCACTCTTGCATGTGCCCTGGTAGGGGACGGAGCCCCAAACCTTGGCATGTTGGAAGGATGCTTCAACCAACTGAGCTATCAGCCAGGCTTAGCGCTCTTTTAAAGAGGCAACGGGAGCCTTTCCTTACCTCCTCGTTCACTAACAGGCCTCGCACAAAGTCGTCCCGAGTTTGATAGTCAAAGTTGTCTGTGAAGAGCTGAGCCACCTATGGGAGGAAGTTGGATGGGGTCAAGGGTAAGTGCTATTCTCTGGATCTAAGATAAGTCCCCAGAGACC